AGCCAGCAAGTGCTGTTTCTGGCACCATCTGTGTCCTGAAAGTCTGTTCTCTAGCACTTTATTCACTAAACATGGAAAAAATATTTGGAATGAAAATCTCTTGAAGCATCTTCTACACTGAGGAAGCTAGCTTTAAAATGAAAAGAAAGAAACACTGTATCTGTTTATCTGCTCCATACAAACTGATAAGGAAATAAGCCCACAGAAGATAAGTGGGAACTCTTCAACAGCTACCTTCCTGCTGAGCCAGCAAGTGCTGTTTCTGGCACCATCTGTGTCCTGAAAGTCTGTTCTCTAGCACTTTATTCACTAAACATGGAAAAAATATTTGGAATGAAAATCTCTTGAAGCATCTTCTACACTGAGGAAGCTAGCTTTAAAATGAAGAAGAGAAAGAAAAAAAAAAAAGGGTGACATTTCACATAACGGTTCCTTCTCAGAAGAACTCTACTTGGATCCCCATCATGTTGAATCAGAAACAAACTCTAGGTACTTCAGTTTTAAATCACCACACCTAGACCTCCTTCTAGAAGGCATATCGTTTTGTCTTGCAAATACACCTCCAGTGCTGAATGCTCACAAGCTAAGTGAGAGATTACTTGCGGTTACAAATTAGGAGTCAAAACAGCATTTGACAGACTGCGGTTCAGGAAAGAATAATAGAGTTCTATTTACTTTTCTGCAGAGACCATAGAGCCAGAGTACTTGTTTCCAATGAGAAAGAGATGAGACTGGTATGTGTGAAGAATGGGAAAAGGTGGTGTGCCAAATCATTCACTTTGCATGATTCTTAGCATCAATCTGGACTTTGTATTTGATTAGTAAGGAGAGAAGGGGGGGGGAGAAACTGTACCCACCTACTATCACTAAAAAAGGTGCACTAATTGTTTGAGGGTTTGCTTCACTGAGCAAACTTTGTAACAAGTGAAACTGATTTATTTAAAAAATAAAATCTGATCATGCACATGTCCTTCAAATTACTAAACTGATACAGTAACCTCTATATGCAATTTATATGCAAGCAGAATAAAAGGAAGAAGATGCATTCCAGAAGTGATGATGCTTTTATGGAATACGGGCACTGATCCAGAGCCCTCAAACCCAGACAGTCCAGTGAGGGAAGGGGGGAAAATGCAAATTACCTCCTCGATGATCCTGGATAAGCCGCCACCAGTCCAGAATCCAATTTCAGTCTGAGGCAAGCCCTAAATTGTCTTAGTTCAGACAGAGATGCTGCCTTCCCTTCACCTCCAGTTTCTCCTAGCTGGGCAAGTAGTACAGGAGTACCCAACCCACAGGTACAGAAACCTGCAGAACCTTGCCAAAAATCTTCTTGTGATGTTCAAATTAATTACCGGGCAAGTTTTGTGTAAAACTTAACCTTGAATGCCTTGGAATACATTAGAATTTTATCTTTTACAGCTGCACTTTAAGAGTGAGCTCTTCAGGATAGCAACCTTGTGGTTTTGTTTTAATGCAGTAACTCAGCAGATTATAGCAGGTCATTATCTGCCTTTCTTCTACCACTTAGCCCTGAATATGGTCTAAAAGGGTTATCTTACCTTTTTTACTTATACAATGATGGTCTGATAAGTACACAGTGAACTCTTACATTACCCAGAGGAAACAACTACAAGTCCAATTGCTATGGCTCGTTGTAAGAGTCAGTATTTTGTTCAGTAACGTCAACCTATGTGAAGGAGAAAACTAGTTGGAACATTTTTCTCCAAAAAGGCAGCCAGAAAAGCAAATAGTTAATCTGAATTTGTGTACTTGGTTTATGAAAAGCCTTATTAATAAGTGCTTGTTACTCTGTGGCCATTTAGACCCATGTTCATTTCCCAATCAGCATGGAATAACTATGGTCAAGTGTCCTACCTCACATGAATCTTCAGGACACCCAGTTTCTTCCAAGGGGAAGTCAAGGTTTCCTTAACACTGAAGTTCAATGTTTTCTCTCTTCCATGCTACTAAAGGCACTAGATTTTACTAAATAAGCGCAAGTGCCTCTTAGATAAGAAGGTACACCAGTGAAACTGTTTCAAAGCTTTCACAGGAAACATTTACCCCAGCAATCCATGAATCTTAAAAGCCAGCTCCCACCTGCATGGAGAACAAAGCACCTATATCAATGATGGGGCACCTTCCTCAGCTGATGTATTGCAAAACAATCTCCGTTCAGATTCAACTTATTCCCTGAAATGTTTTTCTGATTTTGAAAGCCAGGAGGCAATACCATCCTCTGGGGTGCTCAAGAGCGGGAGCTACTACCAAACTGTTACACTTCACACTACAAACAGTTCAGCTACATTCCTGTGGGACCAGCATCCCTACCACTCTTCCAGACGTGCTTTCTCCAAACCTGATGAGCTGCATTTGAGAACTCTATGGATGCCCTCCTTATTATAAGAGGTTTTGTGGGGGATTTGTTATAAGCCAAGGATCATCCCTGTTGGGTGTGGGTATGCACAGAGACCCTTGCTGGGTCCCAGTCCCACGTAGCCTAGGACTTACGTGTACCACTGTGTGACACATGGGCAACAAGAACAACCGCAAAGCGCCAAACTAGAGGCATGCACACTGACTGCTAGGGGCATACCTGTAGGCTTCCCATGTAAAATGTTTGTTTTCTATAAAGAAAAAAATTAAAACAAGCTCTGTTGAAATAATTGTCTTAAGAAAATACTTCTGCAAAGAACGACAAGGTAATCTTCCTAATAATGGTTATACTAGGAAAAAAATTCACAAGAACATTAATCTTTCTTCCATTCTTTTCACATATCCCTACATCACTAAAAAGAAAGGTGTTGCAGGGTACTAAGTGTGTTTTTTATTTCAGTATCAAACATACACAAGGGCTGATAAACTGAACTAACCTAGACCTCTTTCATCAGTTGTTTTTGGTTGGGTTTTAAGGATTTCACACCCATTAGAAGAAGTCAGTCTTGATTCAAGCAATTAACAAAGTAGTGATGAGGCAAGCAGATTGGCACAGAGGGACTATAAGAAACAATTTAAGTAAAATTGCTCCAGCTGCCACACACACACACACACCCCATCCCCTCAGAAAACATTATGCAAGAACATGCTTCGATATAAATCCCTCTCTGTATGTATAAACTTTTACTCTCCCTACCAAGCAACTGGTTGCAAAAAAAGATGCGTTTTAAGGAGGAATCATCCAAAACTTTCTTACAGGGCTCAGAGGAAGTTTTTGCATGGTCTTTTAGCACCAAAAAAAAAAAATACATATACCAGAGCCCAAGGTAAGCTTGACATAAGACAGTTCCCTGATGAATTTAATCACCAGTTGCTGTATTTTGTCATCAGCACTCTTTTGAGAACATACAAAACTTACCTGCTTAGTGCAGAAGTGACAGACCACCAGCACTTACAAAGAAAAACTTTAGGAAGTTTCTGGACAAACTGTATTTGGCAAGCAGCCCTGATGTTGTAAGAGCACGCAAAAATATTGCAGAAGTTGTTTTGGGGCCTCAACCCTCTAAATTCTGTGCCCCGACAAAGGGTCAAGTCTGTACAACCAACTTCAGGACATCTAGGCAAGGTTGAGATGATGTTAATAGGGACAATTTTAACTCTTCCTTGGGAACTTTAGGAAGACACGGTGTTTTAAAATGGTGGGGCAGAGGGAACATCTGAGACCAGATGTCACCACAGAAACTGCAGCAATGGAGGAAAAGAGGGAAATAATTTAAAAGTGAGGAAGCAGATCGGAAACAGGGTAGATACCTGTAACATACAAGCAGTAATAGCTACATACATGTAAGGTAGGATGAGCAGGTAGAAGCATTTTGATGCACTCTGCTCAACAGTGCTTACATCTGTGTTTATTCACATTTTTCTGAATCATATGCCTCTGCTCTGATACTATTCCTACACAAAATCCTCAGAGGAAGTTTGTAACAAAATATAAGTTAATCCTCAAATCAGCCACCATCAACCATTTCTATTACTACTTTTTCCAAAAGCTTGACAAAAAAAGCAGTTATGAATTTGAAATAAAAAGTATCAGGTAGATACGGTTCAACTGAGGAGAGCACAAGGTTTGGAAAGTGCAAGGGAAATGCTTATACGGACAGCACACACCAGAAGGACAGGCTGAAGCAATGAGAGGTGGTGTGTGCCGATATCTTACAGAAAACCTGTGGTTGACAGCCTAGGTTGGACAGAGCAATGCCTCAGTTTTTCTCCAAAGCCAGAAAGTAATCAAGCAGTGCAAACAAAGAAGTAGCTGCAGATGGAAAGTCAGATGAAGAAGGCAGACCAAACCTGCTCAGAGAACACCACTACTGGAGCTTTATCCTCAAACCCTCCGCCCCCGAATCTCCCTCAGGCAAAAGGATGACTTACCACTAGTAAAACGTGAAGACAACGTTTTAAACACATACAAGGTAGAAAAACAGTAAAGAAAACAGATCCATTCTCACAGTAGCCCATCTACTGCAAAAATTCTAACACTATTTGTGGAGTATAAACAGCAAGTATACAGTATATCGGTGAAAGCCAATAACCATAATAGCATGAGCAAACAATTTGCCATAATGCCACCACTATAGAGGAGCAAGGGAAGAAAAAAAAAAAAAGAAAAAGGATCAGCATTAAATTTCTGCTTTTGTAAAGGTTTTGGCCAAGTATTTAAATATGAACTTGTATTAAGTTTACTGAACTTACACACCAGCAAGGTCCAAAACGGACAAGCTTTCAGTCAAAGAGAGTGACTGCATCAGGAAGTCAGTATTCACCAAAGAATCCATTTCAACATTTTTTATGGTTAACTCGGAGAGCAGAAATGAAGGCAGTTATCTGAATTGCTTAGAAGGCTCCATTGTTCCCTCTTCCAAAGGATTTTTCCCCAGAACAGAATGGGTGGTGTGTGCAAAAGCAAGTGAAAGGTGGGGGAAGGGGAAGAGTCTTGCGGATAGAGAGAAACAGAAACACAGTTTTAAGCACAGATATCAATTTTTAAAGTAACTTCCTACCTCCCACTGCAAGTGAGGCGGGATATTTCTGATCTGAAGCTTCCGACTCCTGCAGATAAATTAAAGAAAATAGTTTTTAAAAAAACAGAAAGAAAACATTATTGCAAGATAGACTATACATAGCAGTGTCCACATTTAAGCATCTGTCATACTAAGAGGGGCAAAATCAAATACACAACTCAAACCCAACAGATCACTGGGGGGGAATGTCAGGTCAAAACAATTTGAAGGCCAAAGAGCTGTTACAGAAATACTTGTTACGCATTTGACAGCTGTTACATTTCTTGAAGTCTCCACTTTTCTTGAAGACTATTTCTATTTCAGCTTTAAGGCCTTCAGTATCTAACTCTCTCCGTTATAAATGGGTGTGATAATCCCACATATTTGTACTGGGTTCCCCGCCACACACAATTTTTTTTTTTTTTTTTTTTAATTCACCAAGAAGATACTTCAGGATTCTACATCTCTTCAAGGAAGAGAATACAAATTTGAATAAATCCATTTGCTTTGATATCAAGCTTTTGATTAGCCTAATGACAGACTATATTCTAACATTTATATGGCCAACATTCTCCATCTCTGATAGGGAGGAGGGGGTAAGAATCAGGAAATTCACTGTATTTGCACCCCAAATTTACATCAGTTTTTGCTTATCTAGTAAACAAAACATTCACTTTGAAGTGCTACTGCAAAGCCTGGCAGTGTGCTAGCTGCCTTCACAGCCAAGTCCTTTGTCTCCTCCCTTCCCCCAAAGTGAGAGAACAAATAAATGCCAGAGATGCCACAAAACCCTTGGGATTTACAAGAATGTGTAGATTAACAGAGTTTCAGCTGGGCTCAGGTGGGGCATGCTGGTTGGGTCAGTCTGGCTAGCCTGGGAAGATCTGGGGAAGGGAGAGGGGGACAACACAGAGCGGGCTAGCTTAGAAAGTCTCAACTACATTTTGGTTCACCAAAGCAGCTAAAATAAGTGTCTTGTGTTCAAACACGCAGTTTTACTTAGCATTTTAATACTGACCTCTCACAGAAAAACGCTTCACATTTTAAGGACTTTTTATAACAGAATAGAAGTTTGTTAAACTTATACAGGCCAGTAAACTCCTGCAACAAAACAAGTTTTAGAGATGTTCCCGTCTCGCAATAAAATCGAAAGCTTTCATTTTCCCCCTCAGATCCTTTTAAAATACACTCCTTTCCTTAACACCGCCACCACCCACACAGGACTGCAGTGAGTGTTTCACATCTTGAAATGCTCTTCCCGACAGGCTTTGTTCGGGATGCAGCCGGAGCTTACGGAGCAAAGCCACCTTGCCCAAACTTGTCCTCACGTGGAGGTGTCACCCCCAACACCACAGCAACCATGAGATCAAGCAACAAGCGCGCTTTCTCCAGAAAAGATGAACAGGTCTCGGTTGCGCAGCATTTCTCAGCTGTTTTCACTCCCTCTCAAGCAAGTAAGAGCTGATTTCAGCAGTTGATCATATAAATAGGCGAGGAAGGGAGAACGAAAACTGCACAACCCGGTTTAAGCTTTCATTTCCAATAAAGCAAAGAGAGTCAGGAGTTGCTTCACTGTAATAGGAAGGGGGGAAGTTTTCCTTGAAGTCTGAAAAGATTTCCTTAAACTGTAATCTCAGCTAGCAATACGACTACAAAACAACCACCCTAAAGTAGTGATACACTGCTCTGAAATATCAAAATAATCTCACACAGCAACCTGAAACTTGAAAGTTGGGTCCTAAAGTAGAACATAAAAGGGGATGTTCATTCAATATTAAAAATACTGGGAAATTTTAATGCAGAAAAATCCCAAACCACAAAATTGGCAGCCAATATGCTATTCAATGTGCTTCAAACTGTGTCATGCCATTAGTCTCTCACACTTATAGATTCAAATTAAAATTCATGAGAGTTTCGTAGCAAGGAGTGCCACTCGCAGAAGGATCTGAGCACGCAACAACCCAGCCAGCATACCAACAACAGGTCTCACCCCAGCTCCACGCCAAGTTAAGCAGCAAATGCTCACGCTGAGCAGTGTATATCCACTGGTGAGAAGGAGAGGGGAAAGTCCTTTCCAGATGCACTTACACAAGTTTCACACACACACAACTGCCACCTCACATTTCATTTCAGAAGGAAAACCTACGTATCTTCTCCTTTACTGCCCAGCACCTGAAAGATGGACAAAAAAAAAAGCAATCTCTACATTTACTCAACAATAAAGGACACAACATAAGGTTTGGGGTTTGTTTTCTTTTTCTTCCCACAGGGCTTCGAGGGACTGAAGAGTTTGATGCAATTTAAAACTTTGCCAACCAACATTTGTAGCACAAAAATAACTTCAGTAACCTGAAAGGGAGGAGGAGGAGGAGGAGGAAGGGAGAGGAGCAAGGAAGAAATGCCACCTTAAAATTACCAGTTCCTCTACCACAGTCATAAAGAGCCAGAGGAAATGGCAAGGAAAGTACAAAACGGGTACAGTCCCGCTGTGCACCTCAATTTATGGCAATAGTGAGACACCTATTGTACAAAACTGAAAGGTCACTTCAAAAATACAAGAACAGCTATATGAACCATTTAATTTGAAATTATTTACACCTTCATCAGTTGCTTGGCTGCACTGCAAGTAATTTTAACTTGTTACCCAATGCACAAGTTTCAAGTCTGGTGTTTATTGATGCATGTGAAAATTTTTTTTTTTTTAACATTGTTGCTGTATCACAATTAGCAATAGGAAAAAAAAATTAATAAAGCTTTGCGTGGCCAAGAGAGGAATCTCACAGAACCAGTGTAAGATAAAAGACCTTTGAGACTTCTCCATTTCAGTTACTATCAGCTTCTATAAAAAAAGCCTAAATATATTTCTTAAAATTACCTAAAAATACATGAAGCTTGTAACCCCTTTCCCTCTCTGCCCTTCTCCCCACACAGAAAGGATAGATAGAAGTGACAGAGGTGTTTTTGTGTCCCCAGGACCAGAACGAGCACTGAACTAGCAGCGAGCAGACAGAGACTGAATCCACCACAAACCGCGATAACCTGCGCAGCTCCTGCTCGGAGAGGTCGCTCCTCCCGCTCATCTCCTACGCTTTGGCAGCCCCATACAGCTCCTCGCTGCAGGGCGGCATTAGCGATCTGCAGTCGCCTCTACTGCACGCACATGAGCCCACGGAGAATCAGCTCTCAACTTCCTCAAGAAAAATCCCAATGCAAACGTACAGCAGAGAGTAAGGGACAAAGCTGGGTCTGACAATTTACCGGAGCGGCAACAGCTTCCACAAGGATGGGTTCCGACTTCAGAAAGCATGCTTTTGCACAGGGACAAAACTCTACACAATAGATGGGGAAAGGAAAGAGAAAAATATGGGAGCATCTTCCTGGAAATACCCTCCCAAATCAGACATCATCAGCTCTTTTAGGGTGCTTTCCATCTTCCTCATAACCCTATTTTCTTCAGCAAAGTACAGTATATGCAAAGCTCCTATAGCTATCACATCCCAGGCAGCATAAACCCACAGAGGGTTTTGTTTTATTTTGTTTTGAAATAATCTTAAGTTTTGTTACTTTACAACTACTTGCAGTCATACCAGGTGTGTAAGACAAGAAATAGTCCTTTCAAATTACATGAAGGTATTTTATTACAGTAGTTTCATTTAATCTATATCTCACTTAGTCTTAATAAATCATAGTAAAACATTGCCAGCACCTCTCAATGTGACTCATGAAAGCCTTGTGTATGCACTTTTTCCAGTTTAAGCAGATTTCTTAATTCATTTCTTCCATTCTAAACAGGCATTGCAAATAGATGTCAACTGAAAAAAAATCTGGGCAAATGGTGTTTGTGCTCTATATCATATGAAAGTTTTTGAAAGCTACCTATAGTTCACAGTATGTGAACAGGTATTCCCACTCATTTCTCTTTTTCAAAGACACCCAAAACACCTTCTATCAGATAAGAAGAAAACAGACTTCTCTGGTTTCTGTATAAGGTTAGTCCATAAGCAATTATTTGGCAATAGTTTACTGTTCTTAAGAGGAATTGCACGCATTCTAATTCTTCTTTTCAGGTATTATGCAGGTAACTGGATTCAGTTACTTCAAGCCACTGCTGATGAGCATACATCAACATATTTATTCTGGGAATGTTGAGACATGGAGCCTTGTGTTTGGGGGACATGAATATCTCTGCAACACTGAAAGCAAGTAAAACAAAAAGACATCATTGTGCCTCTTCACAAGGAAAGCAGAGTATTTGTGCTACATGTGTGCGCAGAGACAGAAAGGGCAAAGTACCATAAAGATAGATAATTAAATGGCACTAAAAGCCATCTTAGTGACCTCTGAAGGGGTAATCTCTCATATGTAAATACAGAGAACACATGTGCAGGGACACCCAATGCTCCAGACCCACAAGAACCCTCTACACATATGAAACAGTACTAAACATGTCTTAGGGAAAAGGTGGTGGGAGGAGGGAAGAAGAAAATCCACAATTTCAGCATTCTCTTTCTTTTATATGTACTCTTTCCTTCTCTCTCTGTCCTTCCTATATACATCACCTTTTTTCTTCAACTTATCAAAATCCTCTTGGGTTAAAAAGGTCTCAAAAATTGTCCATTTTTACATCCCTGCGTTACATAAAATCTCACTATAAGCTTTCACTCACTAATACAATCTCACTGTATGCTTTATGTGACATTTAGCAAAGGCAAATCACACAAGACCCGCACGTCCCCTTAAGGGACAATAATTTTAAAAAACAGAAGATAGACAATTATAAAGCAAAGAACAATAAAGTATCATGCTTTTGCTCACGGTCCCGTGGTTTTTTTTATCTCATGGTGTGTATCATAGGTGTGTCAAAATTTGGCTCTTTCAGAAGGGAGCATACACACAAGTATTGAGGCAACTGCACTTCCACACTGTTGTTGTACCCACACTCTTACCAGACCCTTCTCACCATCCTCCCTCCCTCCCCCCAGAGATGTGCTGCCTCTTGCTCCTTAATTCCCATTTCTCAACAATAACGCCACGTAATACTCTCTTATT